AAAAATTGTCACGTTACTTGGTTATTTAGCAAATTGTACTTTTTATTCTGCCTTTATATCCTGCACGAAGGACTATGTATAATTTTGGAATGGGAAGTTAGATATTGGTTTTTATTTTAATTTCGTACGTTCACACTTTTATATTTGTTATTATAATTTATTGAACAACAATTTTTTTATTTATTATAAAATCTTTTTTAATGATTTAATTAAACGATTTATGATATAACAACCAAAAATTATAGATATTTATACAATTAAATATTATTTATAATTATTAACATAAAATAATAAACTTATTGAGAGTATAAATTAATACATCATCGATGATGTCAATCGACCGTTTATCATCGCGGTCTCAAGTATACTAAATTTCTTAATCATTCGTATCGACGGACGACTGCCGTATCGTATCGTATCATATTATTCTTATCGGTGTTCCGAACAATATCATGGTATACGAAATACGATTCTAAGTGGTAACGGTTTGTCGGTGTGGATATCTTATATTACATATTGTTATTACTTATTATTAATACAGTAGCCGGTAAGTTGAATTAATATTATAAAATCAACACAAAATAACTAAAACGGTTATTCTTGGTTTTTTAATATATAATTTCATCCGAATTTTAACTTAAAATAACTATACAAAAACTGCGTTTATGTATTTTTTAGATTTTTTGATAACAGAATTAATTACTTACGTGGTATTTTGTTTTAAAGTTTTGTCCTTAGCTATAAAAGTTTAAAATTTTATAAATTTTTAACTACTAAATAATTTGTAAATACTCAATTTGTTAAATTTCGTTAAAATTCGAACTTTAAATGTTTATAATAAATTGTGCCCATATATTTGTAGTCTTTTTCAACTGCTATTGTAACAATGTATCATGAGTCTTGTATTAAATGTTCAAGCCTTTTGGCCCAACCAATTAAAATTTGAAATTGTCCGTACACAGATCAAAATGAGACAAAATATTTTCAGAATTTTATGGTATATACAAACTGAAAATATAAACATTCAGTGAAATTTTCGTGTACACCTTCAGTTATTCGTTTTTGAATTACAACAAAATAAGAAAATCGTTACATGAGAAATCGAGTGAATATTAAATGTAATAATAATATGAACTTCAAACGCTCATAAAAATTTAATTTGACATGCTTGTAGAAATTTTTTTTGATAAATTTAGGAAAACTTATGAAAAATCTTGTATTACTTTTTCGAATTTTTGATTTAAAAAGAAAAACTCAAAACAATTTGAACATTTACTTAAATTTTACGTATTTACGTATTTGAACTTTAAATGCTTATAAAAAAAAAATTGTGACTTGATATGAATATTGGATAAATATTTTTCATTTGTTTTTGAAAAATATATTAAGAACCTTCTATTAAATTTTCAAGGTTTTTTTACCCAAAAAATAAAACCAAAATCGACGTTGTCGAAAACCGATTTTGCGTCCAAATTCTCGTTTTTCCTTAATTTAACACGTTGGTGGACAGTTGCCGATATTACTGCTATAGCAGTAATATTAAATGTTGATGTCAGGGGTCGTTTTTAAATATTACTACTATAGCAGTAATACAAAAACCGTCCAAAAAGTGTCATTACTGCTATAGCAGTGATATTTTCAATGGTCTCTTATGAGATAAAAAATTTTTTACTCATGACCCTACAAAATACCTACTAGATTCACTTTCCTGTCAGAAAAGATACTGTTGAACAAAATCCAAGCACTTACCGTCCAAAAAAGGTATTAACAGACACTAAAAAAAAAATAAAAAAACACACAGCATTGTTAAATCAATACATTCATCACTCCGCTCATAATCTAAAAATATTCACATAAAGTATGAGACAATGTGACATTGTTTTGTTCTTTAAATTGTATACCTAGTAGATTGTATTATAATAATATCGTTATTACTGAACTACTCTGTACTGAGAAATTGGCTGAAATGTATTCACTTATACTGAATTCAACAACTGATGTGTCAAAGCTCGATTAATTTTTTTTTTATGCATTAGTGTTAAGTGTATTGTACAAATTTGGTGTAATGACTGTAATGTGTTCTTTATGAATATATTTTATAGATGATTTTTTTGTGTTCATAAAACTGTAATCTCAACTTAAAATGAGATGAAGTTATAACTTGATGGTTATATGAGGGTTATATGTTAGATGGTGCATCTAAAATGCAATGATTTGTAAAAGCATTACTTTCTTTAGTACAAAATGAGTAGTAAAATGCGATACAATATGTTTCATGTGGTTTGAACTTAACAGTAGTTGCTGATTGCTGTGAAGCAACTGAGTGTGTACACGACTTTTTTGATCCAATTAGAAGTAACATTTTTAGGTTAGTGTTTGTACCTAATATAACTTTTTAGTAGGTGGGTGGGTGGTATTAACTATTCTTGAACCACCAACTGAAAAATGTCAAACCGCCTCTGGTGTGAGATATGGGTTGAATAAGGAAATGACACATTTTCCCTTTGTCTCAAGGAATCTATAGATATACATTTTATTAAAAACATTCTTTTTTTATATTCAGGTTACTACGTTAATTGATTTTATGGTCTCCATTATAAATCATTGGCCTGCCTGGACAAAAACTTGCTCTGCTGGCTATCAGTTATTTTAAATATAATTTGAATATGAAAATTGTACTTCTAATTTCATGTTGATAAATTATTTTTTTACAGATCAAGAATGTATACCAGACGGGAAATCGATAAAATGGTCAACAAGGCGATTTTTGAAATTCCTTTAGTTCCTTGTATAAGATTAACCGAAAAAGACATTCAAAATTATAAATTGTAAGTTTATTATTATATTTAAGTTTACGTAGGTAGTAGTGTATAGTATATGCCTACAAAACTAATATATTATCCATTTATTTTGGTTCAATATGTTTGAACAATTCGTAACATCACTGAATTTAGAAATTTAAAAATAATAATTGTAAGACCCTATTTGAATCTATGATTAAATAATAACAATACATTTTTGAATACATTAATATTTTTTAAATAATCTTTTATTGTTCTATATTATGAAAAATAATTAAAATTAAATAATTATATGACATTTTCTGCACAAAAACATTTATCTTAAATTACACATTTAAGATTATAATTTTAATTTTTTCAGGAGCTTAAAAAAGAATAAGGATAATTATAGCAACGAACAAGCTAAGAAAAAACCTAAGCTGAATAAAAATAGAAAAGATGATACTCAGGAGGTACCCATAGATATTAATTACGAAAAATCAACAGAGTCATCAAATTCTCTAGCTAATAGTGTATTTAATAAAAACCTGGACGTTAATCCTAGGAAAACCAAGTCTTCTTCAGCTAATGATGTATTTAAAAAAAACGAAGTCGTTTATCCTAAAATAACCAGGTCTGCGTCAAAACCAAAACATATAATAGCTTCTACCAGCACTGAGAAGGTACCCATAAAAATTAAATACGAAGAATCAATAAAGTCATTAAATACTTCAGCTAATAACGTATTTATTAAAACCGAGGACTTTTATCCTAGAATAACCAGGTCTATGTCAAAACCAAAACACGGGATAGCTTCTACCAGCACTGAGAAGGTACCCATAAAAATTAAATACAAAGCAGAGTCATCAAATTCTTCAGCTAATAACGTATTTATAAAAACCGAGGTCGTTTATCCTAAGAAAACCAGGTCTGCGTCAAAACCAAAACACGGGACAGCTTCTACCAGCACTGAGAAAGTACCCATAAAAATTGATTACAAAAAATCAACTGGGTCATCAAATTCTTCAACTAATAATATATTTAAAAAAAACGAGGTCGTTGATCCTAGGATAACCATGTCTGCATCAAAACCAAAACATGGAATAGCTTCTGCCAGTACTGAGGAGGGAATCATAGTAATTGATGACGAAGAAACAACTGAAACATCAAATTCTTCAACTAATAATATAGTTAAAAAAAACGAGGTCGTTGATCCTAGGATAACCATGTCTGCATCAAAACCAAAACACGGAATAGCTTCAGGCAGTACTGAGGAGGTAATCATAGTAATTGATGACGAAGAAACAACTGAAACATCAAATTCTTCAACTAATAATATAGCTAAAAAAAACCAGGTCGTTGATCCTAGGATAACCTTGTCTGCATCAAAACCAAAACACGGAATAGCTTCTGCCAGTACTGAGGAGGTAATCATAGAAATTGATGACGAAGAAACAACTGATACATCAACTTCTTCAACTAATAATATAGCTAAAAAAAATGAGGTCGTTGATCCTAGGATAAACATGTCTGCATCAAAACCAAAACACGGAATAGCTTCTGCCAGTACTGAGGAGGTAATCATAGTAATTGATGACGAAGAACAGTTGTTTCCGACAAGGTCTGTATTTATGTTTCTACGTTAGTTTTTCATTATATTTTAGTTTTTAAGCAAGTTGATAGTATGTTTATATTGTAATTACATATTCACTTAAACTATGTTCGGTAAATTTCCGCCTCCACTTTAAACTATTGACTTTTAAACACGAAGACTCCCGGGTTTGGTGCCTTTGCAGGCTACAACCGCGGACCTCACATTAGCGCTGTGCGCTAGTCGAGAGCCGCGGAGGTTCACGGTCGGCGTACGACGGCATTGCCACCAACCACCGCCCGCACGTCGTCTATGGACCACGAGCACCGTGCGCACACCCGTTCCCACCGAAGTCGGGAGAGAGTGCGCCCGTACCGTTGGCTGAGGCGTTCACGTGCCCTTCGCCACCCTGGTCGGGTCGCAAGCTATCCTTTTTTTTTTTTTTTTTTTTTTTATGGTATCGAGTGGGGGGAGGAACTTAACCCTAAGGTATTACTTCTCCCCGCCACCCATCGTTTATTGTGGAAATATTAGTTAAAAACACAATACATTTATTGATTATTACATTTTATGGGGGCCTCTAACCACCCTATTTTGGTCTTTGACCCACAAAGGTATAACTTAACTAGCTAGTTTGTCATGTTCCTCTCTTCCAGCTGCTGGGCACGCTCCAACGCCTCCTTCTGCTTCATCGTCCGTTTCGCGAATGCGGACACTGCTTCCCAAGCCTGAGTGTTGCTGAGCATCTTCCCGATCAGTGAGCCGATGTTCAACTGGCCGATCTCTGCTTCTAACTCCTCTCTTTCAGCTGCCCATGCCCTACATTCAACCAGCGTGTGGTGCGCGTTGTCTAGAGTTGATGGACAGTGCCTACAGTTTGGCTCCTCTTTTTTCCCTATTCGGTGGGTGTAATAACTGAAGCAGCCATGCCCAGATAATACTTGAGTGAGATGGAAGTCCATGCTCCCATGTTTCCTCATCACCCAGCCTCGTACGTCATGAATTAGTGTCCGCGTCCATTCCCCTTTTTTGGCGTCTTCCGTCCTCTGCAACCATTCCACCATTGTGTCACCTTTTGCCTCTTGTACTGTTTTCCTTGTCAACCCTCTTCTGATTTGGAACAGCTTCCTCCTCTCCATTGCTATGAGGTCAATTGGAGGGGTCGACGCTAAAATGTATGTCGTGTCGTATGATATTGTGCGGTACCCACAAATACTGCGAAGTACCGCTTGCCGTTGTACCTTTAGCAGTTCTCTTCTGATGACCTTGGAGTACTCCAGCGAGGTTGCCCATATCGGGGCACCGTACAGCATCACCGACTGGACAACACTTACCAGCAGTCGTCTGCGTGGTTCCGTGGGTCCGCCTATGTCCGGCATTAGTCTCTTGAGTGACGTCAGCACCCGCTGTCCCTTTTTAGCTGCTTCCTTTATATGTTCTCTAAACTTCAGCTTCTCGTCTATTGTCAGTCCAAGATACCTCATTGTCTTCGTTATTGGTACATCCGCGCCGTTCAGTCTGATGGTGGGTTTCCTTTTTTTGTATTGCCTTTTGAAGAATACGGCTTCGGACTTCTCCGTCGCTAATGACAGTCCGAGTATGCTGATCTCTTCTGCTACCACTTCTAACGCCTCGTTTATTCGCCTTTCCACATCTTCGGTTGTTTTGCCAAAAGCCATGACGAGTGTATCGTCGGCGAATCCTATTATCTTTGTGGATTCCGGGCACTGGGCTCTTAATACTCTGTCGTACGCTACATTCCACAGCGTCGGGCCGACTACCGAACCCTGCGGCACGCCGCATGTTATGTTAATCTCTAGTTGACCAGTAGCGGAGTGGGAATGTGCCAACGTTGCGGATCTCTCCTTGAAGTATGCTTGGAATGTCTGCAGCAGGTACTCGGGGACATCACACTTTTGCAGCGCTGTCTTTATGTGATCCCAGCCAATGGAATTGAACGAATTTCTAATGTCGAGGCTTACGGCGACACAAAGTTCGTATTTTCCGAGTGCCGCATTTGCGGTCGACTCCAGTGCGCTTATTGCGTCCTCGGTCGAGCGACCCTTCCGGAAACCATACTGTTCGTCCGCGAGGCCTTGTGAGCTTTCCAAGTGTCTTTCGAGCATCTGCACTAGGAGTAGCTCATAGAGCTTTCCAACATCGTTCAGCAAACACAAGGGTCTGTATGACGATGGTTCGTTTACTGGTTTTTGTCCCTTGCGGAGTAGCACTAACCTTCAGTTTTTCCATCTGATGGGGAAGTCACTTACTCGCAGGCACTCGTTGAACATTCCCCTGAAGAGGGTTGGTTCTGCCCTGTGGGCTGCTGTGAGTATGCAGTTGGTAAGTCCATCCGGGCCGGGCGCTTTCCTCCTGGGGGCCATACGTTTGAAGGCCTCACAGACCTCGTCCTGCGTGAAGAATGGGATGGGGATGTCACGGATGTACTCTATTTGGCTGGGTGGTGGCTTCGTTGGAAAGAGCGTCGCAACGATTTCCTTTAGCATCGTGGGTTCCATGTTCGCCGTCGCTGGTGGGCCTTGCAGTTTCCTCAATACCAGCTTATACGGCTTGCCCCATATGTCGTTTTCTACGGTTTCGAGTAGTTCTTTCCACGCGCGTTCTTTGCTCTTTGCTATCTCCGTCCTGAGGGCCTTTTTGCGGGATTTAAGGTTCTCCAGCAGGTCTTCTGTCGCCGCTATTTCTCCTCCGTTCCTGGTCCGCCTGGTCACTGCTCTTTTTAATGCTCTTCTTGCTGCCTTGCAGCTGGAGCGGAGTTGGGCTATCTCCGGGTTCCACCAGTGCTGGGGCCTTTTGCCACATCGCATTTCGGGTTTCCTCTGGAGTGCAAAATCGCATGCGATGGTCATCCTTTTTTCGAAGGCATCAGCTAAATTGTACTCCCCCATGTCAGCTTGCCGTGGGGAAATCCAATCCGCTGGCATAAGGCCTGCTTTGAATTCCTCAACGCAGATGCCCTTGGATGTGATCCAGCTCCTATCGTTGCGCGGAGTGTCATTTCCTCTGCTAGAGCTTGCCTCCGTTTGTGCTGTGTACGTTATGTAATGGTGGTCTGAGTAATTTTCTTCGTCTAGTACCGTCCAATCTCTGATGTTGCGGGAAAATCCTTCTGATGCAAACGTGACGTCGACAATTGAGCCTGCTCCTATACCATGAAATGTGGGCTCTCGTCCCGTGTTGATTATGACCAGACCTAGTCCTTCAGAGAGCTCTAGGAGTTCTTCTCCTCTGGTGTTACTCTGCCAGTCGCCCCATGCGGCTGATCTCGCGTTAAAATCCCCGGCGATGATAATTCTCTCCTGGCGTCCTAACAGTTGTGCGCTCCTTTCTAGCCGTTGTAGGAATTCCCGGTATGCTGCTATTGTGGAGTTTGGTGACGCGTAGCAGCTATATATGAATACTCCGTTTACCCTTACCAGTACAAACTCGTCATCGGTCTCGATTTTCGCTATCGTGGCGTTTTTCCCAAACACTTTGATTGCGGCCCTATTTGTACCGCTGCTTGTTAGCCATCCTTCGTTGCCGTCTGTGATCCCGTGGGGGTCGCATGCAATAACCACGTCGATGTTTCTTTCAACCACTGTTTGCTCCACCAGGTTTTGAGCTGTTCGACAGTGGTTGAGATTAATCTGTAGAAGATTAATCATTGCCTCCTGGTCCGTTGGTCCTTCCGGCCTCATTACGCGGCATTGACCCAGTCGTGGCTCGCGTTTCGCAATTCTTGGCCACATGACCATCCTTTCTACATTTGATGCAGCGGTTGGAACGATCTTCCCCCTGGCATCCTGCTGCTACATGCCCGGTTTCTAGGCATCGGAAACAAACACTTTTCTTTTCCCCAAGCAGCTTTATCATGCAGTTGCTCCATCCAATCCTCAATTTGGGATCAGCTACTAGCCGCAATGCCGACTGTATCGAGGTCTCGATCTTTGCAGTGCTCCAGCCGTTGGCTGCTGTTCGGATGGTGAAGGGTTTGATGTCTGCTAGCTCTGGGTCTCTTTCAGCAAGAACTGCCCTCAGCTCTTCTGTGGTTGTTGACTCGTCAAGTCCTGAAATGAGCACTGGTGACGTTCTCATGGCCCTTCTTACGCTTACCTCATTCCCGAGCTTCTCCTTTAGTTTTTTAGTAAAGAGTTCAGCCTCCTCTTTGCTGCCAACCTCTAGGAGGATGTCACCTGCTGCTGTTCTTCTAGTCCCGACCACTTCGATGCCGAGCTCTTTTAGGTTTGGTACAGCTTCTTTCGCCTTCCTGATGACATCAGCGTAGGTTGACCCGGTCGTTGGTGCATTAAGGATGATTGCTTCGTTTTTGGGCAGTTTTTTCCTTAGATTTCTGGCCATTTTTTCCGCTGAGCTACCGTTACCTCCCCTTCGTTCGCCGTTCTCGTTCTCGTTTCCTGTTTCGACTTGGCGTTTGTCTCGTTGCTGTCTTCGCGGGGGGTCGCTATGTGGTTCCAACGCCTCACTATTTGATGGTCGCTGGTGCGGTGGCTTGCCCCTACGCCTATTCTTTCGCCGGTTCTCAACCGTTTCCCAGTTTCCGGTATCACTGCTGCGGTCCTGAGAGTCGTCTGTCCGCTGTTTTTGTTGAAATTGTAGATTTCTTTGCATCTGTGTCTCTCGCTGCTGCTGCTTCGGCGACTTTTGTTGTGGCAGTTCCTGTTGTTGATTTTGGTTCTGTAACCTCTCTACCTGCTCTGTTAGCTTCCCAACAGCTTCCCCCTGGGTTTTCAGCTGTTGTCGGAGTCCCTCGATGGCAGCAAGGAGCTCAAAGCGTGTGCGATCCGGAGAGGGGATCTTGCCTGCAGGGGTCGACCCTGTTTGGGGACCTGACGGTACTCCTGTCGTCTTTGACTCAGGAGGCACCTCATTTGTGGGTTGAAGTACAGAGGGTCCAAGGTCAGTTTGGTTTCCTCTACTCGAGGTACTGACGTTCACTTTACCCGTGAGTCTTCCCCACTGTATCAGCCCTTTGACGTTGGTCGATAGCTGGACTATGAGGGTTTTTATCTCCCTCTTGGTGTTGGTGGCAATAGCAACTTCATCATCCAGGCTCTTAGCCACCGAGTATGTTTGCTGGAGGTACTTGAAAAAACGTGCATTTGCCTCTTCCATATTTACGTCGTTCTGGCTTGTTTGACTTGAAGTTGACGAGGCCAACAACTTCGTCACCAGATTCCCTGCAGTCTTAATTTCTCCAGCATTTCCTATTTCCTTGTTCTTCACCTCTGAGGTATTCACCCTTTGACCGGTGGGTGTTCCGCTGTTTTGCACCAATTGGCCAGCTGGCGCATCTGGGTTCTGTTTGTTGTCCTCCATATTTGGTCCCACGCAAACACAGGAAAGGGTCGTCCACCACTGCAGAGCCCGGTGCAGTGGTAAGCCTATATACTGTTGGGTGTGGCAGAGCCCAACAGGTTCCACGCTGACACAACTACCTCTGTGCCAAGTGACACCCCCATCACGGTTTGAGGGTTGAGGGAGCCGGTTTTTCATTGCGAAAGGCATGCTCAGGCCTCTTATCCCCAGTCAGCCAAGCCCAGGGGTAATTCGGTGTAGTCCGGGGGCGAGCCCCAGAATGGAACCTCTTGGCACGGGCGTTAGCCCGTGAGCCCCCCCACCACGACAAGGTGGGTCCCGTATTTGGGTACTATCCTCATTGCTTCCCGTTTTTGGTCACGGGCAACCTCCGGTGCATATAGCCCCACCGGTAGGCTGGGTGGGCGCTAAGGAGTTTCTCACTCGGCAACCTTCCCCTAGACCAAGCATACGGTCTTTTAACCATAGGGTTAGCTCCCGCTAACAGCCACTCCGAAACCAAACCGCCGTCGACTGCGCCGCGACCGAGGCCGGGCGCGACCGCCGAGTGAGGGCGCGTCGTCAATTTCTCGACGCCGCGGGTCTCCCCCACATCCCGAAGTACCATTTTCGCCCCCGTTAGGAAGGCCCATCAATGGTGGGATGGCCGGGCAGAGCTTCGTCGACCGGGAGTCTCAGCTGTGGTCCTACCAAGATTAGGATCGTGTATCGCGGGCTCAAGGTGGGCCCTTACCAGTGGCGGTCGCCCTGGCGCGGTGGCCGCGACCCCCGAGTTTGAGGCTCGGTAGCCTTCGCCACGCCTCCCAGAGGCATCACCGAGGTGATCGACTCGCTCTTCACGGGGTCGCAGTCAAAACCCCCAACACCCTAGTCCCCGAGGGTTTCGGTGTGTCCGCGTCCCGGACGCCGGCCCCGACTGGCCATTTCCCTTTAAGTCGCCTCTTACGACAAGCAGGGAATACTGTTGCTGAATTCTGGACGGCCCCAGCAACAGGGCCGAAACTCCTCGTCCCTGACGAGTGAGCTCGCCCCGGGCCAGGACGCGCTCGAGCGTGACCCACCACTTGTGCCACTTACGCCATGCTTGCTCACCCGGGTCACCCCGAGTCTGTGCAATACGCCAGTATGGTGCTGCTGCGCCCTGACCCATCGTAGGTCCTACCTATCAGTTCAGTTCTTTAGGCTTCGTTCACTGAACTTTCTTAATGCTTCATATGTCCTTCTTGTACTGAGGAAGGCTCCTCTTTCCGGGGGCCAAGCCACCCCTTCTTCCATCATCACGGTTATCAGCTCTTCGCGGAACTCTTGCGTCCTTGTGCAAGCTAAGAGTACATGTCTTACCGTCTCTGCCCCATTGCCGCAAGCACAATTTGGGCTGGGTTGAAGCTTGAAACTGTAGAGCTTGCTTCGAAAGTCTCCATGCCCAGTAAGGAATTGCGTTGTATAATGATCCAACACCAATGGTAGCTCGCATCGTCTGGCGACGTCCGGGATCATGAATTTGGTCCAATCTCCCTTATCGACTGAGTCGTACCGTTCCTGCCACTCCTCCATGAGTGCACTGAGTCCCATCTCATATTCATCGTTGGTCATTCCACCGGTTCGTAGTTTACATTTCAGCGCCACCCTCCTGACCTCAAGGTCGAGCGGGAGTACGCCCGCCACGACCGAGAGGCAGTTAGTTGACGCTGTTTTGTAACTGCTCGTTATTGCCCTGAGTGGTTCCCTCTGCATGCTCCCGAGATCTGCTATGCTTTTCTTAAGAGTGCAAGCTCCATCGGCCCAGATTTCTGCTGCGTACGTAACACGAGGGAGGAACACCGCCTCGTAGATTACTTTGGCCGCCGCTTGGCCCATGCCCCAGTTTGCCGAAGTCATTTGTCTTAATCTACGGTACATGGCCTCTGATTTTTTCTTGAGGGACGACACATGGTCCCAGAAGCTCTCCTTGGGGTCAAGGATGACGCCCAAGTACTTCGCTGTCGCTCCAGCCACTATCCTGGCGTCATTTTCTCCTGAGCCAAAGCCGACCGAGTAGCCGGGCTTTAGTCCACCTTTCAGGCTGAGTAACTGGCTTTTTGTTGGCGAGAATTCCAGCTCGTATGCCTTAGCCCACGCTTTGAGGCCATCGAGGTATCTTTCGATTCTGCCGTGTGCAGTTTGGGGCCTCGCCGCTGCCACCGTGAGCGCGATGTCATCTGCGTACAGCACCATGTTGGCTGTGTTGTCCAGTTGCATGTTGCCAATCTCCGTCATGGCAACCTTCCACAATGTGGGACCAAGCTGGGACCCTTGTGGGCATCCTCGCTCTATTATTCGCTGGTATCGTTTGCCCTCAATCACGATGCTCGCTGACCTATTGACGAGGTAGCTCTGGATTAGTCTCATTGTTCTGATCGAGGCGCCGAGCGCGTCAAGTCTGGACATTAGCGGGAACCAACCGACGTTGTCGAAGGCCCCGGTGATGTCCAGAAACACCCCGAACACGTGCCTGCTATTGCTACCATGTATCCAATCATACAGGGACTTCATTGCCGTGATGGTCGACCTGCCTGGCACAAATCCGTGTTGTTGGCCATAACTATTTAACTCGGTTTCCGTTTCCAAGTCCTGAATGATAAGGGTATCGAGTGATTTTGCCATTGTAGGCAACAAGCTTATTGGTCTGTATGACTTTGGATTCGTAGCGTCCTTTTTCCCTTGTTTAAGCAGTACGACCAAGTTGGCGCACTTCCATGATTGCGGGAAAGTGGCTTCAATTATGCATGTTCTGAAGAGGCGTACCATCTCCTCACCCAGGATCGGCCATGCTTTCCTCAGCAAACCAGCCGTGATACCATCGGCTCCGGGCGCTTTGCCTGGACGCATCCTCCAGATCGCCGCTCTGACTCTATCAGCGCCCTTCCCTAGGGAAGAAAGACCCTAAGAGTACCTGTACCGTCTCGTCTAGTGTTTCGGTCATTGATCCGTCTGGGCAAGTCATGGTGGAGGGTACCTTCCTCGACCTACAACCGCACTTTGCCCAGCTGAATGCTTTACCCCACGTGTTTGCGTTAATATCTCCAGCGAAACAGCGCCACGCTGCGAGCTTAGCTGATCAGATGTGAGCTACATATGAGTTACGTGCTTGGTTGTAAGACGGTCTATCCGTTCTCTGGAGGCCCAATCTCCTCATGCGGTCCATGGCCTTTTTGGCGTAGGTAAGTTCAACCGTCCACCAGGATTGTTTGCCCGGTCTCCGGTCTGCTGCGCCCGCTTTCGGCATTGAGCCCGCGGCTGCGATTTGTATTGCGCATACTAATGTCCGAGCGTAAGTATCTACATTCGATCTGTCGATTATGGCCCTTTGATTACAAAGGCATGAGGCGAATTTGGCCCAATCCGCCCGCTTGGTGTTGTACCGGTGTGAAACCACCCTCGGCAATCTGTCCGTCCTTAGGTCGACATAGAATGACAATACGTTGTGGTCACTGTCGGTTTCGTCAGTAACTGACCAGTCCCGCACCATGCTCGCGGTACGCGGTGTCGCCATGGTTACATCGATATTCGACGAGCCCATGCCATCTCGGTTGTACGTTGTTATCTCGCTTTCTTGGTTGATGATTGTGAGATTAAATTCCTCAATCAGGTCAACCGTCTGACTTCCGCGGTCGTTCGTGTCGTTACAGTGCCAGAGCGGTGAATGACCATTAACATCGGCTCCGATTATGGTCCTGTTTTCACGTTCGAGTATTGTCCTTAGTTTAGCAATAAAGTTGTGGGTCGGCATGTTGTACTTAAAATATGCCGACACCACCGTGACTGCATCCGTATCACTGCCTCTCGTGATTTTCACCGCAACGACATGCTGACTAGACAAGCCTGCCATCTCGATCACCCGCAGCCTGGGTTCGAGGATCACTATCACCGCGCCTGGGTTGTCACTGCTCGCTGCCTGCCTGCAGTTCTCGAAACCATAGACTGTTCCGTTTATCATGACGGGTTCCTGTATTAATACAATGTCGGTTAGTGTTCTGTCGCAGTAGTCCCGTAACTGCTGGCTCGCTAATTTTTGTCTGTTGACGTTGTGCTGAGCGAACTTTATGGACTCGGTCATTTCGAGCCGAAGTCCGTACGCCTTAAAAGGCTACGTGTAGCCTGAGTCCTAGCTCTGCAAGTACCATTGGACGCTTTGTGTGGCCCTTTACAGTTCGCGCACTTCACCATATCTTCTTTGCACTCGCGGGAGTCGTGTGAACCCGCGCAGTTCCTACATGTAGGCGATTTCTGCTCACATCTTATGACCGTGTGCCCATACTGCTGACAGTTAAAGCATTGCGGCAGCGAGCTGTGCACTTTGCATCTGCACCTTGTCATTCCAATATAAATTGACTTATTTTCAATCTTGGCGAGGACGCCCGGGGGTACTTCCACCACCCAGTGGACCACATCACTGTTGCGCGGGCCCAACTTGTGAAGTGGCGTCGTGTTTTCTACGTCTTCCGCCGTAATACCTAGCTCGGAGTTTTGCACCAAGAGACACTCCGTCAGCTCTTCTTTTGTAACTCCACCGTCGACGTCATATATAATGACGCGGGGCTTCTTCGGGCCTAGTTCTAACACATTGTCAATACCCCTCATCACCTCCAACGTATTGGCGTCATCAGGGATTATTATCAACGTTATACCGCTTACTATTGTTTTGGCCTTCGGGTTTTTACACTTCGCCCTTACACTCTGCCAAATTTCCGCTTTGGCGCTAGCTACAGTCGTGTCTTCTGCTATTTCTATTAGGAAGCGTGATGTCGCCTTTACCTTTCTACTCTTGTCGGCGCGGAACCTCTCAGCCGCCCTGTTGGACTTCGCCGGGGGTACGCTTGTGGCGTCAGGCACCGCTACCGTCCTAGGTTCTTTATTTGGGACTGTCCTCGCCGTCTTAGAGGCGTAGGTGGGCTGTTGAGTCGTTACCGGACGTGGTGCTTCACTGGTAGACTTCAACACGTTCAACTCGGCCCTCAGGCCGCTAGTCTCAGCGTTTTTCGCGTCAAGCTTATCAATAAATACTGTGAGGCTTTGTTGGAGGGCCTCGTCCTTGCCCTTCAGCTCACCAGCTAGTCTGTGATTTTCTTGTGCAAGTCTCTGAGTCACCGACCTCAGTCTGTTTATTTTGGTGAGCATTTTTTCCACCACCTGTACGCCTATCTTTTTCTTGTCCTTTTCTTGGATTACTGTTTGTTCGATCCAGCCAATAAGATCGCTCATTTCGTTAGATTCCTTGGTGCGGGGCTGTTTTGCCACCTGACCACCTGGTGAGGGTGGGCCACGTTTCTGGCTGCCACTGGCGCCCATGTCACCACTTCTATTATTGGATTCTGTATCCATAGTGTCTCATCATCACACCCTCCCCTGAGTCTAAGGGGGACTGAGTAGCAGTTTCCGTTAATATCAATGTCCGTATCATCTATATCCAACTGTGCCGTTTCCATTTTCATTTTCGCATTACCAGAGCTACTGATCACGACCTGTGTGGCGAGCTCACCCACACCTGCCGGGCCTGAGGTTTCCTGGGCCTCTGTGCCGGTATCATCAAGTTGTTTTCTTTGTGTTTTCATGTTAGTTTTTAGAGGGGGCTGCCCTCTGGTAGCCCTACACCCTCTGGCCGCCGGCGGGCTAGATCGGCGGTTGCATATATCCATGCCAGGGGTTAGAAGCCCGGAGTTGGCCTGCTCCGGACAGTTTTTGAACGCCTCTTAGCGCCGGACAATTAAGCCCGGTCGGGCGGGGTCACCACTACAAGGTGGGCGATCATCGACCCCGTGACTTTTAAACAGTGCTAATATTTTGAAACTGATTTGTAACAATTCGTTACGCCAATTTTAAAATTATTCAATACCACCCATTTTCCTGAAAATTCGGTTTCTCGATGAAGGTGGATACAAAATCGATTAGACCAGTTGCCAGATAATGTAAGTTAGGCTAGATGATGGATCAAACTTTTAAAAAATACAAATTCAAGGTAGATATAGGTGCAAGAGAAAGAATACCATTGCTGTTTGAATTCACAAACTAAATTCGATTCCCAAGAAATTCAGATACTATACATTTTTCCAGTCCTTGAAATATAAATTCCGGCGTTACTATGAAAGGTTGCACATTTTTTTCATCAAGGTTGTAAAAGTTGCTGATAAGTTGCCAAATTGTTAAAAATGTTTGAGGTTGGTGCTTACGAGGATGTGGTAGGGCTGCATGAATTTGGCTCCACCAATTTTGGGATAGAGATTACTCCAACAATATAATGTTAAATATAATTTTTTTTATTCTGGTTGAAAAACGTTTTTAATTAGTTTCAAAAGATTGGCACAAGTTTAGTATTTGTCATGCAATGGTGGGGCCATTCACACGATTAGATACTTGTGCTGCAATATAATATTGTTATAAACTCATTTTTATATCATTATATTTTAGATTTTTTAATTATAATGCTTAATATTAATTATTATTATAATGATTTAATTATATAAAATTATGGTGCAAGCTTCACGGTTTGGTGTTGCTTGAAGTTGGCCCTCCGTTCAAGAAATCGGATTTTCCGCAGAATGGGAAATATCGAAATTGGCGTAATAAAATATTTGAACTGGTTTGAACTTTGAAGTTAATTGCACAAAGTGGCGATGTTAACTTCATGAATGTATTTCCATTTGTTTAAATATTAAAATATTGTAAAAACTAATAAACTGGTTCTAACGAACGATATATTTTATCGTTGTACGTTTGTATGACTGAAACAATAAACGCACGCATATGCACAAATTGACTACATTTTTTGGGGGGACTCAATCCCCCTCACCATAGGCCATATTGCTTATTGCCACAGAATATAAAAATTAATATTAATTACTAGATTTTGACCTGGGGGGGTCTAAGTCCCCCAAAGCCCCCCTCTATTTGCGCAAATGAACGCATGTACTCTAAAATGAAATATATTATAATATAGACTACAGTAATTACCTAATAAATACATTTTATAAATTATTCAATTTAAAGAATTGACAAAATTTATTACATGTAACATTTAAAAATTATTTAGTTAAAAATGTATAAAATGTTCAAATTTTGTTGCTAGGTATTTAAAATTTAAAAGAAGGTTCAGCGGAAACAGTCAATTCTGTAACCAATAAATCTAAAAAGGATATAAACATTATAGTTCTTTTTATAGTTGTTTAAAGTTCAAATTTGGAGGAAATTACTTATCAAATAATCAAGAACAACGATTTTAGCTATTTTGTTGCCATTGAAAAATACTATTCGTGAATACTTAATAGTTATAGGAAGAATATTATTTCAATAAAAGTTCAACTTACAGGCTAGGTACTGTATTAATCATACTAGAGCCCGGAACTTGATGCATTTGCATCTTTTTTCTAATGCTTACATACGAGGCTCGTTTTTACAGTAATTTGATTCTTGGAATATAGGATTTAATGATACCGGGTTTTTTGCATTTTTAGGAAATTTATTGCTTTACTGTAATTTTTTAGTATTTTTTTTGCATTTTATTCAGTTTCCATTAGCTTGTCGATTATCGACGTTCATTATCTTTATCGTTTGTTCTCGCAATCTATGATTATTTAATAAACTGTTGGCCAATTCTATTTTAGTACCGGTCAATTAGAACAAGTTTCCCAAAAGTCGATCAAATTATTTCAAACTTCAAAAGTTTTGAGTAAACATTTTTAAAGAGCTAGTACCTATAAACGTAAAATTAATACTATTTATGACCCATGAATTGTATATAACGTAATTTTTGTAAAACTTAAATTTTTAAAAATGTTAAGTCATTACAAAGTAATTTTTATTTCTGTGGTCTATTTTTTGATGTTTATAAGCGGGGTTGGGATTTTATAGCACTTAAAATTGCATAATTATGCGCTATAATATGACTATATGCGTTAAAAATATGCAATAAAAACAAAAAAAATATAAAAAAAAGGAAATTCATTAATTAATCACTCACAAATTTGAAATTATTATTATATGACGTAGTTACTTAGGTTAATTATCGCTAAATATGCGCTAAAAATATGCAAACAACAAAATATGAAAAAAAAAAGGAAATTTATTAATTAATCAATAATCACTTACAAATTAGAAATTATTATGTGTACGTAGTTTAGTCACTCTGGTCAGAATCCTGAAAGGCTGTAAAAAAAATTAATATAAAAAATACAACGTAACACACGAGTACAGGCATACGAGACGACTATATAAAATTAATTGATAATAATACAAAGTTGATAATCGCAGTAGAAATCGACAAAAAAAAACCCAATAAAATTAGCAACCAAAAATTAAAACCAAATACCTAATACGAAATTATCGTAGTATTATATTATACCTATATATTAACGCTGTACGGCGTTGCATCATCGTAATCGGCCTATTTACTTAATCTATAGGTACATTTACAATTTATTTGATAATTCAATTTACAAAAAATCTAAAAACACGAAACATAAAATATGATTTCATAAAATGTTGACAGATTTTGATTCAAAAACAGGTAAAAATGCAAAAAAGTCTCAAAAAAACAGTAAAAACTAAAAAATCGTAAAATATGCAAAAAAGAGCAAAATAAAATTTTTAATTTCAGTTCTCTGTATCATGAAACACATTTTTAGCTTACTCTGCTATTTTTTAAGCATCTCATAAGAAATATGCAAATGCTATAAAATCCCAACCCTGTTTATAAGTAATTTCTAATTTTTTTTTATGGGCATTTTTTAAAGATTTTTATTTTATCAAGTTCTGGGCCCTAATAATAACAATAACAATATAATATAAAGAATCGTTTTCCGTATCCAATGCTTTATCATTGAATTAAACTTTAACACATATCATAGGTACATTATACGGACATAATCACCCCTTGCACAGAATGCTTCGTAATCTGAACAATCTTAATTTTGATTTTAATAAGTAATTAAATAGTTTGATTTATAAATATGTTTTATCATAGTTATACATTACTAAATTGAGGTATTACCATATAGTTTATATTATGTTGTGTTTTTCCATATGTTCTAATTTTGTGTGAATTTGTATTATATTATTGTTATATCTATTAATTTTAAACTTAATGTGTTAATTTAAAATTGCCGTTAGGCGTTTATATATTATAAATAAATAAATAAATTACAGAGGTCAGCTGAATTTTGATATTTACTCGACACCTACTAGATCCTTCAGTTACCTCCTGGGTTTTTATTTCTCTTACAACAGAATAATTATTTAATATTGTCTACATAGGTATACAATCATCAAAAAATCACAGTCTTAAGTAAAATATCAATAGAATTGTTTAAGTTACGTTATTTGCATAAACTTTTAGTAACTTAAATTATATTTGTAATATTAGTTTTTATTAAATTCTATAGGTTTATATTATCATTAAATCTCTGGTTTTAAAAATCAACAACTTTTAATTGAAATTAGAAATCCATACCTACTTGTTACTTCTTACTAGTATGAGTTCCTATTCCTTATTCCTCTGCTGTACGTATTGATTGTAGTCAAAATTTTAATTCCAGTATTAATTAGTTCTGTTATATTTTTAGAGGGCTAAATCATAATAAGACCCAAACCATCGGTAATACCGCAGTGGAACCGACGGCTGTAACAAACCAGCCATTAACGAAGTTATCCCGTGAATTACTCACTCAGGAAGTATCTTCTGAAACTGATACTCCTAAAGTGATCCCAATTGAAAAATTCAACGTTGGTACGCCAAATAATTTAATCATTCATTCGGATCAAGTACCAACAACCTCGTCGGCAATACGACCAACACCTGTGCAGTCGATAAACTCAATTCAGAATAACAATACCGTGGCAATCCAGCCTATACTTGAAGGTCTCCGTTTTGCACTCAAGCCTACAGTTGAAGATCTCCGTTTTGCAATCAATGGCTTCCAAGGGCAGTTAGTAGGGGTAGGTAAAATTAAAAAAAACTAATACAAATTGAAATTTCATTATGCTTATAGTAAATAGTTCAAAAAGGGCCAAACTAATAAATTTATGGTGTATACAAAACGTTAATAAAAACATTCAGTGAAAATGTTTGTTTTTAGAGCTACACCAAAAATCAAGATCAAAAAGTCAAAAATTGGTTTTCTATTCCAAAACGTATTCGCGTAGTTTTACTGTGACATTTCAAAAATTATTTTTATGAAACCTACCTTTCATAATATTAATGAACTGTTTTACTTGCGATAATATTTTGTCAACATTTTATTTTTTTGGAGGTTTTGTGGAGGTACATTTAAACAAATTATCTCACGAAGTAATTACATATTAAAATACATAGGTACATCAATTGCATTATTCAATCTACCACTGGCCGATTGGTCACCTCCGTTGGATTTGTGCACAAAAAAAATACCTTTCCGTGAATTAATTGCCCTATTTAATATTTGTTAATTTTTACACAACAAAATTAATCTATTGTAATATTATTCTTAAGAATTTTAAAATAAATTATAATGCTTCATTGAATAGCATAGGGTATAGAGCATAATCCTGCCTTTAACCAGATTCTACCCAGAATTCACCTGACGTCTGTTGGTTGTATACCTTACCTTTTACTTTCTATTTATAATAGAAGTTCGTACCTATTACTTTAACCAACTTTGCAAGAATTTCAAATTTTTGCATAACACACTATAAAGACTCTGTTAATTTAATCATATGCTTGTTTGTAATCTATGAATAATACAAATTAGGCCTTTATTGAATTCATAGCATTTTTTCCATTTATCGATTTGTTATGTGAATTTGGTTCAATGTAGACTTACCTTTCGAGAACCCTGCTTTTTATTATTCCATAATAATTTCTTTTGTGTAAGGTATGTGTCTATTTATGAGTTTATTTTTGAACACATTTGATAATACTTTATATGCAATATAGTTCCCTATAATTTCTGAATTCCATTAGATCTCCCGTTTTGGAAATTAGACATAATAGAGAGGTACCTAGGTATTCTATTGCTATGGTAGTGTTTCTTCTTTCCAGATTTACAAAGTATAATAATTAATTTTAATCTATTAATATTTTATTATTATTTAATTGTGAAAATTATTTAAGTACCTATAATACGTTTTATATTAAATACCTACCACATACATTATATACTTTTGTAAGACTATATTGTTTAAAGACTATTATTTTTAATACATACATTTTAATAACTCAGAAACCACTTATAGGAATTTTTATTTAGAGGTATTCAAGTTTAATAAAAATAGTAGCAATTTTAATATTCTAAAAACAGATTTGTTATTATTTTTTTTTTTTTTAGTGCTTTGTTTGTAACAAAAGTGCAACTATGGTGTGCAGTGATTGTAAGGTGGCGAAATACTGTTCAGATTCGTGCCGAGTAAAAATATTTGAATATAATATTTTGTAAAATAACAATAATGTTAATATATTATATATATTTTTTTTAGCAACGTCACTGGTACGCGGAGCACGTTTTTGACTGTAAAGAACTGCGAAGAAAAAATGGAAACAGCGCTTGAGAACTCGCCCTTATAAGTAATTTAACCTAAATATATTTTAAGTTAAAAATGTTCATAAAAATATTTCTATTTTAATTTTTTCAAACAATGGACTAAGCCAATGTCTATTAACTTTTTGAGGTGCTGTGGAGTCCTTTATCACCTTTAAAATTACTTTATCCATATAAATCTTCAAACCCGATCCTGATTTAATATAAAACAAACAGTGTCCAAATGTTTTAACTATAGTTGAAAAACACAAATATGCGATTTTTAATTTATAATATTATTACGTCCTGTCATATATTAACCATAATATCTTGACTCAATTCACTATAATTATAATTTTTTATCTTGTAATATTTTATGTCTAATATTGTAAAATGTGTCATGTTATTATTATATTTCATATTGTCAAATAAAATATAAATAAAGTTGATTCCCCAAAAACTATACTCTTTTTCTTTAATATTTTATACTCCAAAGAATTACGTTCTCTCATCAATGGTCAATATTAATATATTTAATGCTGCTATTTTATACATCAAAACCTATGGGTTCAATCGATGTTCCTTCATTGAAATAACGCAACTCTGCTCATTGCTCACAGATCTTCAGTTAAGGCTTTCATTATTATCGATTTTGATTTTTTTGATGTAACTCAAAAACTAACAACAGTAGATATTCGCCAAATGTATATATGACAATTTTCCGCACAAGATAACATTTTCAATATATCTTACTCTTTTCGAACTACTTATATTTTAGATTCTGTGCGCAGTGATGAATGTACCTATTTATTTTAAAATAATGTGTGTGTTTTTTTGTATCCGTGTAAACGATATGTAAGTAGTAGAAATAATGCTTCGATTTTCAACTTCAGTATCTTTTCGGTGGTAAATTGAATCTAGTTGGTGGATTCGGGAGATCAACATTTTAAATTACCAGTAGTTTTCAAAATTCGCCGGCAAAAACAAAAAAAAAAAAATTAAGGAAAAACGGGCATTTTTACGCTAACTCGGTTTTTGGATAATAATTTAAAAATAATAATAGAATGTAGTTGAAAGTTTCATAAAATGTTTATGCAAGAAATTTCTATGCACCGTAACATTTTCGAAATATACAACTCTTTTTGAGTTATTTATAAGCATTAGAAAATGTTGAGTTTTATTTGTACTTCATATTGTCTATAAAACATTTAACGGTCTGTCAAAAATCTTGATAATGTTATATTACATTTCTCATAATTCGATGTAAGTGGAAATTAAAAAAAAAAGATGAGCGTAAATCCACAGGAATTTTTTGTGAGAGTCTAAGGTTAAAATGTTGACAAAATGCATCAAAATCACGAAAATTGGAAAATTATTTCAAGTTAGAAATTCATAAAAACTGTTCTATTTATCTCTAAGCGTTGACAATTTAATACAAGATTCCCCTTAAGTTTTGCTAAATTTAACAAAAAAAAAAAAAATACCGGAATCTCAAAAGATTTTTTTACGATCTTTTGAAGGTAGATATCTTTTGGATATTCACTGGTAAATTAACGAATTTTCATACAACAATTTCCTTATTTTGTCGTTATTCAAATTCAAATAATTTTAGGTACTTGAAACTTTCATTAAAATGTTTATTTTATCATTTTCTATACATGATAACATTTTTAAAATATTTTGACTAGTTTTGTGTTAATTATACAGACTCATACTCGTACGTTTATACGACTATTTTATACGCACAATGACATTTTCAAACGTATTTTTTTTCGGCAAAAATGAATTTCACTACTTAAATTAAGTAGGTACTTTAATCACAATAATATCATAAAATATGCATCACACTTAGTAATATTATAATTTGATAGACTGTCTTCGCTCAGAATCGTTTTTTGAATAGGAAACAATATTTTATATCATTTCATTCAAATTTAACACCATCCATTACAGTGACCCACTTTAACCTACTGTACAGCAGAGGGACACCCACTTACGCTCTTTTTTAAAATTATTGTCGATAAATAAATGTTCGCTCGCAAGAAACTTGAAAATTTTATACCTAACCTGTCGGTGAGTGTTGCTGGGACGTTATCAAGACGAGTGACGGCAGATAAGAAAGAAAATTGCTTGGACGAATCAGTTAAGACAGAACATAAAACAAATTGATGTCGATTAAATAACTAGAGTGGACTGTATTTGTGTATTGTAACATAACTTCAATTATTATATTTTATACTCACAAGACATTTTCAAACGTAATTTCTAAACGAAATAAAAAAAAAAACAGAAACAGAAAAATGGAATAACCCAATTGTCCTAAAAATAAGAGATGAAGTTATATTAAACCGCCTCAGAATAGGTCATACACACTACACACATGCACATATTATGAAAAATGAGAAAAAAAATTTTATTAAAAAAAATATGTCGAACATGAGGATATCAGTGGTGGCTCGTGGTGTTAAAAATAGGTGGTACATAAAATAATAACTAACTAACATTTACTACGATGTAACATGTTTTTACTGGTTTAAAATAATGTATCATATTAATAATATGGAAGTCATTTATTTAAATTTTTAGTTTAAAATTTGTCTTGTATGTAAAGTCGAGTCTTCTCTCTTTAGAATCAACAAAACGTCTATAACTTTATTATTAAAATCAGGAATATTCATAACGAAGTTTTTTTCGATTGATAACATCGCTAAACTTGATAATTCGTCTTTGGTTAAATGACGAGTATATTGCCAAGATTTTTGTTTTGTAACTTTTATTAAATTTAAATCCGGCACAGGTCTTCCCAATGTTTTAATTTAAATTTTTTCCTCATTTGTATAAATAGAGAATTTTTTTCAAAAGATTTTCTACTGAATTCATTTTTGAAGAAAAAATGATGTGTTAATTCTAAGAGGAAGAATTCACTCTAATAAAAAACTTGTATCTATACTAGTGCTACATAGTGTAGTGTAGTAAGCCAGCTACTACGGAGTAATACCAATTTCATAAGTACATAGTTATAATTATAATATACGATGAATCGGGATTCGGAATTAGGCGTAGTAACATTTGACAGTAACAAATTCCACAGGTGCAAAGTTATGAAACTATATAGGTGGACCGGCATAACCGGGAGATTAGGGAACATAAAAGACACGAGGGTTAAGAAATAATCGGATGAAATATTTTACAGAAAAACTGAATACGACGAAATCAAAATATAAAAGAGTAAAAAAGATTATTTTATAATAATCATAATGTAGAAATACACGCAGCCGTAAATGCGTAGGCCGGATAAATGTCCACAACAAATCACATCCGTGAGAACCGAGATATCGTATATGTAGGCAAGGGGTACGGGGGACCTCATATATAAGGGAGCCCGAATCGACCTGTATTCAGACGTGTACTACCACCCATTAGTGCAAGCACCTTCACGCCACTCTGTTGAATATTATTTGGACTTACAAAAATTATCGAACATTATAATAAAAAATTCACAATATATTACATCTGTCTTATCATTCATTGTCTACCACGACTACAACATCAAATAAAGTGTCTGCGACCTGCAATTATAATAACTTGGTTGCCACTTATCTACTGTCAGTACTACGATACTAGGTACCAAGCATCCAGGCTTATTACAGTAGTGATCCCTCACTAACGCTTATATTTTTGAGTTCAAAGACGTTGACGGTTGAATAGGAGAAAAGGTTGCAGAGACAAGTTACACAAGTTAGGTATAAGTAATTTTATTAACGTTTAAAAAGTAAATAATCACAATTATGTATAAGATAAATTTGAGGACAGAGCGAAAAGCATCTGCCCGAGAAGTTAGTTACGTACAGTATGTACGTAGTGCAAACTCTAAACTAATTCTAATTTTGCTATAGACTTCATCTAATATTTTTATGAAGTCTATGCGGATATAAACGTACACGGTAGAGTCTAGGAGATGGATATTTGAAAAGGAGCCTGGAGCTAGATGTTGTTATTGCCAAAAGACCCGAGTGGTTGATTGGCAATTTAATAAGTTTGTTTTCGCATTATTTTGGCAAAGCGAAGATTCGCAAATTAATCGTTAGATTAGTTTTTTAATTGCTCTGTCAAATCCAAGGTTTGAAAAAGATAAGTTTTAATTGTGCTGTCAAACCCAAGGTATTGTAAAAGATTCCTAGTCTTGTTGTTGTCCAGCGTGACATCGTGAGAAATGTAATTATAATATTTAATATATAGGAAAGCGACTTCGTCGGTTTACTACAATAGTATAGTAATAAATATAAAATATTTCAAGTAAATAAAACAAAACTAGTACATTAATTAATATAATAATAATACAAATATTTAAAATAAAACTGGTACTTATAGTCTATACTACATATAATATTTTATACCTACTACTGGTTCATAAAAAATATTTGTTTAGTTAATTTTTGTCTTTTACTAACAGGATTTAAAATTTCTGTTGAAAACATTTTCCAAAATAATGGAATCGAATACTTAGATATTTTTTAACTACTAATGAAATTAATACCATCTTATGGGGTCTATCTCATAGATAATAAAGATATGGATAGGCCATTGAAGCTTATCATGCGTTCATGTATTACTATCAAATTTGAGGTTATATGGGGTAATTATAATGGCAATTATTATTTGAAGTTTGAAAATAACCTTAAATAGTACTCCATGCAAGAGAGAGAACATTCTTAAAGATATTTTCTCTCTCCCACAGAAAAGAACGTATACAGTGTTAATATAGCCATGGCCTATCCATATCTTTATTATCTATGGTCTATCTAGCAAAGGAACATTATCACATTGAAGTGTATTAAAAATATCATTATCGAATGCAAATGTATTATTACATAGGTTTGTTATTTTTATATTTAATGTTTGTATTTGATTTTGATGTGTGGCTTTACATACTCCTATACACAACAATGTTATACCCTAAACTATAAATTAATTAATCAAAATCATTCTTAACAAAACTAAATCATATTTTACTAATATAATTTACAATGA